TGACTGAGTGAAACTCAGAGGCCATGTTAGTGGAGCTCAACCTTGCCGTCACCCACGTAACCCCCTCCCCTGCGTGTCTGTTCCAGGGACCATGTCTGCCTTCCGCTCAGGCCTGCTGGTGCTCACGACCCCACTCTCGGCCCTGTCTCTGCGCCTTGTTCCCATCCTGGCCTCAGCCTCCCGGATCGTGGAGGATACGCTCTATGTTCACCTGCAGCCGGGCCTCAGCTTGACAGGCTCTTCGCAGCCCAGGTCCACCTACGTGCCAGCCTCCCCCGAGATCTATAGCCTCATCAGCAAGCTGTATGCAGATGCTGACGCCCACGGCCACCTGGACGTACGGGTCCTGCTGACAAACATCCGCAACCAGAGCCTGACGCCACAGTCACTTTCTTCAGTGCAGAACCTCTCCCACCCGCCCGAGGTGGTCCTGACCGACTTTCAGACCAGTGATGGTGGCCAGTACAACCCAGTGAAGCAACGCCTGGAGCGATACGCCACCAGCTGTTACAGCTGCAGGCCCAATCTCATCTCTGTGCTGCTCTACCCAGAGTATGAGCCCATGATGGAGGAGAGGGAGCTGCCCTCACAGGAACCAGACTTGGATGGTGGGACCATGCAGAGTTACAGGGATGTTGTTGTAGGGGGCACTTTCGATAGACTCCATAATGCCCACAAGATCCTTCTGAGTGCATGTTGCCTGTTGGCTGAGAACCGGCTACTGATTGGCATCTCTGACAAGGATCTCTTGGAGAGTAAGAATCCCATTCCCAAACCAGGAAGCAAAACCCCAGTCACGCTCATTCTCTGGCCGTCACTCTGCTGGTTCCTTTTGCTCTGCATGGCAGGGAAGGGAACCATTTATTGTACTCTGTAGTGTTTGTTTCCCTGGGGACAGCTTAGAAGCAGCCTTCCTGAGCTCTGAAGTGGGTGTGTGGCCAAGCTTCTAGGGCCTTTAAGGTGGAGTGTGTATTGTGAGAGGATGAAGGGGGAGAGTAGGTTTCATATCAGTGGAGATGTAAAGCACATTTGATCTGCGTGGGCATGGTGGTAGTTTAGAAGCATCATTTATGAGTTTAGGAGACTCAGTTAGGCCCAACAGGCTTGATGGCTTTTGGGAAGAGGTTTTGTACACCTTCAAATAAGATTAGCAACATTCCTGTGGGTTTTATTGCTGACCCTTCCCTGGCAGTGCTGCCAGCCTAAGCTGTAGCCTTGGGTTTCCGCCTGAGAACTGGAAACTGGCCAGAGCTGATAAGTGAGACTCGCCAGATTACTCCCACTGCCTGATCTAAGGCAGAACGGCATCTCTGCAAAGATGAGATGTCTGTGTCCCAGGTCGTACGCGGCAGGGAGGGCTGTCACAGCGATGGGGATCTGGCTCGGAGTTTTGCTATCTGCGTGTTTATGACAGATGTGCTGCCCTTGGAGTTAAATATTCCTTGCCAAGCAGAACAAGGCTGAGTCACTTGTCTCTGCTCACTGCTACTTTGTGCAAAGAGGGTGCCCCTTCTGACAGCAGACCCAAGGACGTGCAGCAGCCCCGTGCCTTTCTCCAATGTGGAGAAACCTGGAGAGCCCGATGCCCTTTGGGTACCAGGGAAGCGCGAGGGGGCGGATCGTTGCTAAAGCCTTTGGTACGTCTCTGTGGGCCCCTCCTTTAAACATCACTCTCTTCACTGCTAACTCTGGGTGCAGGGACCTTTGTGCTGTTGCTTCCTCCCCATTTCTTGTCCCTTCCAGATAAGGTTCTGAAGGAACTGATCCAGCCGTATGAGCAGCGAGTGGAGAAGCTGTGTGAGTTCCTGGTGGACGTGAAGCCTTCTTTGCGTTATGACATTGTGCCTCTGGTAGACCCCTGTGGCCCGTCGATAACGGACCCTGACTTGGAGTGTATAGTAGTCAGTGAGGAGACCCGCAAGGGAGGGGTGACCGTGAACAAGAAGAGACTTGAAAATGTAATGCCTTTAAAGCTGACCTAGTGGAATACACCCCCTCCTGCTATTCGTTCTAGGGATGCAATAGTGTAGTCGATTCACCAATAAGCAAAAGCTTATAGGTTAATGCTATAGACTACATGCATTCCTCCCCCTTACCCCCCCGCCCCAGTAATTTTGTTTAGCAGGCTGGCCAGTAGCCCAGCTCAGTTCTTGCTCACTCCAGTTCTGGGACCTACCCCTGCTTTGGCTCTGCATTTAAAGTGTATTGGGAGCTGGGTGGGCAGGCAGCCCAGCTCAGTTCTGATTGGCCCCAGGTCCGGGAGCTCAGACCCCCCACCACCACAAGACTGGGGCTGCTGCCACCCCACACTGGTGCCTCTGTATTAGAGGTAGCAGCACAGGGTGATAAGCAGCCGGTCTGCAAGAGGAGCTGGTTTTTAAACTCTCTCCTCACAGACTAGCTCCCTCCTGGCACCCCATGCTGCTGCCGGGCCCGCCCCCGGGGATTATAGAATAGTTGACTAACCAATAAGAATTCATGAGGTTACTCGACTATTCACTTAACCGATATTTAACATCCCTCATTTGCCCCCAACGTGTGTGCCCTTAAAAGGAGGCAGTGCCTGTGAAAGCCAGGCATCGGGGAACAGGTGCTGTACAAGCTCTCCAGTGTGATTGTCCTGATGCCCTGCACTCCCCCTGCTATTCCAGACCTGGGCTCTGCCCCTCTCAGCTCTGCTCTACCACTGCCCCTTATGAGCTGGCTTTCCCTGGAGTGTGTTGTGAAGGGGGGGATGCAACTGTCCAGTGGCAGAGAATGAAAACTCAGAGAGCTGTGAGAGGAGAGTGCAAAGGAAAGATGGGGCCAAGCAGTTGGGTTCTGTCTTCGGAGCCTGCCCCTGAGGAGTGTGGTGGGGACAGCCCCGGTCTGTTCACTGTGTCTCTTCACTGGGGCTTCACTCTGCCCCTCCAGCCATACCCTCTGGGGCAGTGGGGGGGAGCTATCCAAGGGGAACCCTTTCCTCCCCACTCACTGGGATGCGCTCGCTCAGTAAGTAAGACTGTTTCTCTGTCGTATAGGAGCCGCCAGCCCCATCAGCTGGGCCCTGGGCCTAGCTGGGGATTTCTGCCTCTAACTGCAGTTGGTTCCCGGCACATAGATCCCCATCATGGACAATCCTGGAATAGCCTGCCCCGGGGAGCTCTCTCCTGGGCCCAGGCAGTTAGTGGTTGGCCTGGTCCCAAAGGCTAGTGGGGCAGTGTGTCCTGTAGATGCACAAAGGCTCCTGATCCCTTGGGACCCTGCCCTTCTCTGCCACCTGACTCCAGAATCCCTGCAGTCCTTGCCCCACCGTGGCATGTAGCACGGCCCAGTCGCAGGCAGATGGGGACTAATCGACAGGTGGCAGCAACCTCCCGCTTTCTTGCAGAGCTGCCCACGAGCAGCCTGAGTGCAGGAGCTTGGTGTGAAGATGCGGCCTTCCCAGTGACTGCTCGGGGGAGTGGGACCTGGGGCCAGTCTGACTGAACAGCTACGAGGGGCTCTCAGCCCTCTGACTGCGCTGTGCGGCGTGCTCTGTTTGCAGGGGCTCCCAGAGCTGGCCCTCCATGAGATCCGGCTGGTTAAAGATCCCGGGCACAGAGAGAACGAGGAGGAAAAGATCAGCTCCTCCAGCATCCGGCAGAGGCTGCTCGGATCGCTGCTGCAGCCCCCCCAGGTAGGAAGGTACAGGAGCTGGTGGCTACTCGAGTCCGTTTGCCAAGCAACCTCCAGCTCACAGGGTTTTGTGCGGTTTCTAGCCCTGGTGGGAGATGCTGGCCTACGCAATTGGGGACCAGAAACCTCTTAGGTCAGTGGCACGTCCTGGGTCTAGCAAGGGCAATGCTGAAGTGGGGACACAGAGTCAATACCAGGGAATGCCAAGCAGAGGGGCCTGGAATGTGCCCGTTGCTGGAGTCAGCTGGCTCTGTTCACAAGAACGCGGCCCAGGAGCCTACCTGTGGCTGCATCCTCCTGGACCGACCTGATGTCAGAAGGAGGCTGATGGTGCCGTTCCTGGGCTGAGTTTGGATCCTGTGACCATAAATAAACACCAGGAGAAGGGCAGCTGGACGTTGACTGGGTTTAGGAAGAGGGGTTGGCGGCCAGGCGTGTTGGAGATTGAGGTGTGCCAGGGTCTTCCTCTCGGGGGCTTCCAGGAAACGTACCAGTGGCAGGCCAGAGCATGTCTCTGCTGTTGGCTTCCATCAACGTGCACATCCTCTGGGCTTGTGTGGGGTTCACACTCAGGGCCTCTTCTCGCCGCCCCATCCAGCTCCCACCAGCCCTGAGCAGCTGTGGACTCTTCTGACGCTTTATCTCTTCTTGGTGCAGAAGGACCCAGCCCGGCCTTCTCGCCCCTATGTGATCGGCCTGACTGGAGGAAGTGGAAGTGGGAAAACATCCATTGCCAGGCACTTGGAACGCCTGGGCGCTTTCCTCATCGATGTTGACAAACTGGGCCACGAAGCTTACGCCCCCGGCGGCCCTTCGTACGAGCAGGTGGTGGAGGAGTTCGGAGAAGGTACAGTGAGTGGAGCCTGTGTAGAACACCAGGGTGACAGGGAGACGACGTCATAGGAACCTCTGACTTCCCACTTTGGTTTGGGAGAGTCCGTGCATCCTGCTCTTCCCAGCTAAGGGTGTTGGGGAGAGCTCATGTCGGAGGGAGGTTTGTATTTGGGATCCAGAGGGTGCTCCTGGGAGAGGAGAACTCTCTTTTGGAAACAGGTTGGTTTGGAAGCCTGAACTGTTTGCTAGGGATCCTGTCAGAGGGGGGTGGGCAATCATTTTTGATGGGGGGGCGCTTCTAAGGATTTGGTGAGTGATCAAGGGCTGCACTTTTCCATGATATTAATGAATGGGATGAAGGCTGGGTGCTGAAGGGAGCTTGGGATGCAGGAGGGGGTGTGGGGTCTGGGAGGGAGTTTGGGTGAAGGAGGGGGTTGTGATTGGGCTGCAGGGTCTTGGAGGGGGTGTGGGTGCAGGAGCAGATTCTGACCAGAGGAGGGGTGCAGGCTCTGGGAGGGGGTGTGGGTGCAAGAGAGGATTCTGACCCGGAGGAGGGGGGCCGGAGGGGGGCAGGGTCTGAAGGGGGGATGGGGGCAGGAGAGGATTCTGACCAGAGGGGGGGTGCAGGGTCTGGGAGGGGGAATGGGTGCCGGAGGGGGGCAGGGTCTGAAGGGGGGATGGGGGCAGGAGAGGATTCTGACCAGAGGGGGGGTGCAGGGTCTGGGAGGGGGAATGGGTGCCGGAGGGGGGCAGGGTCTGAAGGGGGGATGGGGGCAGGAGAGGATTCTGACCAGAGGGGGGGTGCAGGGTCTGGGAGGGGGAATGGGTGCCGGAGGGGGGCAGGGTCTGAAGGGGGGATGGGGGCAGGAGAGGATTCTGACCAGAGGGGGGGTGCAGGGTCTGGGAGGGGGAATGGGTGCCGGAGGGGGGCAGGGTCTGAAGGGGGGATGGGGGCAGGAGAGGATTCTGACCAGAGGGGGGGTGCAGGGTCTGGGAGGGGGAATGGGTGCCGGAGGGGGGCAGGGTCTGAAGGGGGGATGGGGGCAGGAGAGGATTCTGACCAGAGGGGGGGTGCAGGGTCTGGGAGGGGGAATGGGTGCCGGAGGGGGGCAGGGTCTGAAGGGGGGATGGGGGCAGGAGAGGATTCTGACCAGAGGGGGGGTGCAGGGTCTGGGAGGGGGAATGGGTGCCGGAGGGGGGCAGGGTCTGAAGGGGGGATGGGGGCAGGAGAGGATTCTGACCAGAGGGGGGGTGCAGGGTCTGGGAGGGGGAATGGGTGCCGGAGGGGGGCAGGGTCTGAAGGGGGGATGGGGGCAGGAGAGGATTCTGACCAGAGGGGGGGTGCAGGGTCTGGGAGGGGGAATGGGTGCCGGAGGGGGGCAGGGTCTGAAGGGGGGATGGGGGCAGGAGAGGATTCTGACCAGAGGGGGGGTGCAGGGTCTGGGAGGGGGAATGGGTGCCGGAGGGGGGCAGGGTCTGAAGGGGGGATGGGGGCAGGAGAGGATTCTGACCAGAGGGGGGGTGCAGGGTCTGGGAGGGGGAATGGGTGCCGGAGGGGGGCAGGGTCTGAAGGGGGGATGGGGGCAGGAGAGGATTCTGACCAGAGGGGGGGTGCAGGGTCTGGGAGGGGGAATGGGTGCCGGAGGGGGGCAGGGTCTGAAGGGGGGATGGGGGCAGGAGAGGATTCTGACCAGAGGGGGGGTGCAGGGTCTGGGAGGGGGAATGGGTGCCGGAGGGGGGCAGGGTCTGAAGGGGGGATGGGGGCAGGAGAGGATTCTGACCAGAGGGGGGGTGCAGGGTCTGGGAGGGGGAATGGGTGCCGGAGGGGGGCAGGGTCTGAAGGGGGGATGGGGGCAGGAGAGGATTCTGACCAGAGGGGGGGTGCAGGGTCTGGGAGGGGGAATGGGTGCCGGAGGGGGGCAGGGTCTGAAGGGGGGATGGGGGCAGGAGAGGATTCTGACCAGAGGGGGGGTGCAGGGTCTGGGAGGGGGAATGGGTGCCGGAGGGGGGCAGGGTCTGAAGGGGGGATGGGGGCAGGAGAGGATTCTGACCAGAGGGGGGGTGCAGGGTCTGGGAGGGGGAATGGGTGCCGGAGGGGGGCAGGGTCTGAAGGGGGGATGGGGGCAGGAGAGGATTCTGACCAGAGGGGGGGTGCAGGGTCTGGGAGGGGGAATGGGTGCCGGAGGGGGGCAGGGTCTGAAGGGGGGATGGGGGCAGGAGAGGATTCTGACCAGAGGGGGGGTGCAGGGTCTGGGAGGGGGAATGGGTGCCGGAGGGGGGCAGGGTCTGAAGGGGGGATGGGGGCAGGAGAGGATTCTGACCAGAGGGGGGGTGCAGGGTCTGGGAGGGGGAATGGGTGCCGGAGGGGGGCAGGGTCTGAAGGGGGGATGGGGGCAGGAGAGGATTCTGACCAGAGGGGGGGTGCAGGGTCTGGGAGGGGGAATGGGTGCCGGAGGGGGGCAGGGTCTGAAGGGGGGATGGGGGCAGGAGAGGATTCTGACCAGAGGGGGGGTGCAGGGTCTGGGAGGGGGAATGGGTGCCGGAGGGGGGCAGGGTCTGAAGGGGGGATGGGGGCAGGAGAGGATTCTGACCAGAGGGGGGGTGCAGGGTCTGGGAGGGGGAATGGGTGCCGGAGGGGGGCAGGGTCTGAAGGGGGGATGGGGGCAGGAGAGGATTCTGACCAGAGGGGGGGTGCAGGGTCTGGGAGGGGGAATGGGTGCCGGAGGGGGGCAGGGTCTGAAGGGGGGATGGGGGCAGGAGAGGATTCTGACCAGAGGGGGGGTGCAGGGTCTGGGAGGGGGAATGGGTGCCGGAGGGGGGCAGGGTCTGAAGGGGGGATGGGGGCAGGAGAGGATTCTGACCAGAGGGGGGGTGCAGGGTCTGGGAGGGGGAATGGGTGCCGGAGGGGGGCAGGGTCTGAAGGGGGGATGGGGGCAGGAGAGGATTCTGACCAGAGGGGGGGTGCAGGGTCTGGGAGGGGGAATGGGTGCCGGAGGGGGGCAGGGTCTGAAGGGGGGATGGGGGCAGGAGAGGATTCTGACCAGAGGAGGGGTGCAGGGTCTAACTCCTGTTCCCAAGTTGAAGGGAAAGGCCCTTTCCCACCCTCTTACACTTCAAGGCAGCCAAAAAGGGTCCCTGTCCCAGTGTTTGAAACCTTTGCAGGCCCCTCTAGGGGAATTAATGCTGAGCCCTTCCCATGCGAGCTGAGCTGAGCTGACTACTTTTCTCCTGTTGCGCTTTGTCTCCCAGACACTCTGAACGATGACAGGACAATTAACAGGAAAATCCTCGGGGCCAAAGTGTTTGGAAACCAGGTAACCTTCCCCCCGACTCCGGGCTCAGTGTCAACCTTTCCCCTCCTCTGGCCCTGCTGCCGCCAAGGCTGCTCTGTCGTCCCCTCTGCCCTGCTGCCGCCTGCCTGCTGCTCTCTCGGGCTCCGCTCCCGCCGGCTGGTTTTTCTCTAGTGTAAAGGCGCCGTGTTGGCGGGGCTGGAGACAGGGATCCCCGCTGCTGCCCAGGGCAGCCCCGCTCCTAGGGCCCTTCCGGGGCTGACAGTTGGGAGGACGTCACCCCCTGTTGGTCTAAGCGCTGGGGGAGGCATGGCCCAGGCTGGTTTGCCCTCTGTGCCCCGGGGTTTCCGTGAGCAGAGGTGACGAGAGCGCAGAGCGCTGATCTGCTCCTGTGCTCCCCCGTGCACTAGCCAGACCGGCCCTGACTGGCTTTGGAGCCGCAGCTGAAGGGTGGAAGGGGAGGTCGGTCTCCATGAGCTTCCGCCTGCGCTGGAGTCTTGGGCCGACACCTTTCTCCAGGGGCCTGGTCTGCTCCCCCCACTTCCCCAGCGCCCTCTGTCGCCGAGCGATAGGGCCTTGCCAAGTTCCTCTGCGTTGAGCTTTGGCAGCGGCGCAGATGGGGCTCCTGGTGGAGCAGCTCGGAGAATCGGGCAGGACAGAGCCAGTGGAGGGCTGACCTAGCCCGCTGGCAACGTGGGGCCCCCGGGGAGGGGGCTGGCGGGCGACTGCCCTGACTGCGTGTTGCTGGGTTACCGGGAAATCGCGTGGGGAGCGAATCACCGCAGCCCAGCCGTGTGCCTTGCTAGGGGCGGCTAAAGCGTCTCACCGACATCGTGTGGCCTGAGATCGCGAAGCTGACAAAGAGGCAGCTGAATGAAGCAGCGGCACAGGGTGAGCTTGGTCTTCCCCCTCGCAACCCCAAGGGGGCGGGGCTAGACCATCCTATTACCACCGCCCAGGCCAGAGGCCCTGGGGACGGCTGTCCGGGGGCCCAGGCTGCCGCTGGTGGTACTTCCTGATCAGCTGCTAGGTGTTCCCAGCTCAGGTTTCTGTGCTTTGTGGGGGGCTGGCTGGCCCTTTGCTTCCTGCAGGTGGGTAGGCGCAGCGGGCCAGACTGCCACCGGCCCCCTCCCCGTCTCCAGAAAGGCCTCGGGCGCGTTGGTAAGACCAGATCCTGGCAGGGAAGGGGCCACGTGCGTTGCCCTGGGAGAGAATCCCTCCATTGCTTCTGTGACCGGCAGGTCCCTGTGCCAGGCCTGGGGGGGTTCTGATTAAGCTCTAAGCCAGTGGTTGCCAGCCTGTGGTCCGTGGACCCCTGGTGGTCCGCGATGGTACTGCAGGGGGTCCGTGGAAAGTTTAGACGGACGAACCAGGCGCATCCTTCCTCTTCTTTTTTGTTCTCCCCCAGGGTAGGGGTCTGAAACTAATAGACTGGGAAGGGCTCCGTATGCTTGAAAAGGCTGGGAACCACTGCTCTTAGCTGTCAACAGTCTGGGGCCTGCTGCTTTCCCTTCGCGGGTTCTCTTGCCCTGCCGTCGGGTCGCTGCGCTGCCAGGGGGAGGAATCGGGGCCTCGTGGTGCCCGGGTGCTCACAGGGAAGGGCCTCGTCCCACAGGGAAAGCGGTGTGTGTGCTGGACGCGGCCGTGCTGCTGGAGGCTGGCTGGACACACCTGGGTGGATGGTCGTCGTCCCGGAGAAGGAGGTAGGCGCCGCCCTTCCGCAGCCGTTTGCGACGAGCGATGGGCCCCTCGTGCGCCCGCCTGGGAGTGACGTCCCCCTTGGTCTCCGCAGGCCCTGCAGCGCATCATGACCAGAGATGGGCTGAGCGAAGAGGCTGCTCGGAACAGGCTGCAGAGCCAGCTGAGTAACAGCCAGAGGCTGCAGCAGTCGCATGTCGTGCTCTGCACGCTCTGGGAGCCGGAGACGACTCGCAAGCAGGTGAGAGCCGGGGGCTGCCCAGATGGGCCTCCGGGGGCAACGGCTTTCTTGCCTAGGCCAGGCCAGCAGGGACGGAGGGGAGGGGGCCGGTGGGGTCCACACCTCTGGCAGAGATGCAGGCCTGCCTGCGCTGCAGCGTTAGCCAGAGACCGTGGTTAAATGGAGTAGTCTAGGCAGGACCCCTTAGAGCCTGGGACAAGCCATGTCGGCAGCCGATCGGATGAGAGCCTTGTTCCTCTCTGGTGTAAATGGGACTCAAGGAATGTCTGTTCCCTACGGCTGGATCGGAGGAAGGACTAGGCATCTTCCAGGTCCCCCTCCCCTGGGCAGAGCTGTGGCTGCTTGGTCTCTTTCCCCCCCCCGGGGTGGGGTCCGCGGAAAGCCGCACGTTCTGATAGGTGCCCAATAGCTGCATTAACTCAGTGGAATCAGGCATCTGTGGGAGTGTCCAGTGAGCCCTGTCTGTGCTGCAGCCACCCCTAGCAGATCTCACCCTGGGGTGGGGGCAAACCCAGCCTGAAAGGAATGACAGGTTCTGGGGCTTGTGCACACCGTGCTTTAAGTGGAGTCCGTGCCTGTCCCTGCCCCAGTGCCCTGCCAGGCCGGGCCAGCTCCTCCCAGACAGCTGCAGTCGCTGCCCTTTCGTGCGGCTGAGCCCGGACTCTCTGTCCCGCGTTTGTTCTGGCAGGTGGAGAAGGCCTGGGTCCTCCTGCAGCAGCGCATCAGCCAAGACTAGAGGCTGGGGACCTGGTGGCTCTTCCGGCCACTTCCATCTCGTCGTCACGCACAGCCAGACGGGGGCTCCCAGCACTGACGGGCTCTGCTGCCAGGGGCTGGGGTCTGCACGCTTGGCCCCATTCTCGCCCACGTCTGGTAGCAGGGCGGGGCGGGGCACCACGAGGGTGCACCAAGGACAGCGGCTCTGAGCTGGTGACACGGGCACGGGCCGGGAGAGAGCAGCAGCGTGGATCTGCTGGGACAGACGTCACCGGAGCCAGCGCATGCCGAGCCCCCGGCCCGGCCCGGCGGCAGGCCCGGCTCCGTTCACTTCGGGCTGCGCTGTATGAGCCCCCCGTGCCCTCCTCTGGGTGATCAGTATCATGTGGATTGTCCCCCCTTCCCGGTGGATGGGCCACCTCGGTGCACGCTGCCCGATCCGGGTGTCCTGAAGGCTGTCGCAGTTAAAGGTCCAGTGTGTGCAGCCTGCCTCTGTGTGGTGATTGCTCTGCCAGGCCTGTTTGTTCCCTTCGCCCCCAGGCCTGGGCCCAGGCAGGCGGCTCCTGTGCTGCTGCCCCAGGTGAAATCAGCATTGCGGGGGAGTCCTGCTGGCTCGGGGCAGGAGCTTTGCGAGCTCTCGGCTGGCACCTCCCCCCGCCCAGGCCCTGGCGAGAGGGGTACGAGGGGCTGAGCACCTGCTGAGCTAGCGGGACCAAGTGTGGCTTTCCACTGAAGTTGGCTTAAGGCCCCTGAGCCAAGCTTTGTGCAGCAGGGAAAGGGACCCAAATAGCCCAGCGCTCGTGCTGCAAAGCGGCCGAGCCCCTGCACCCCTCCCTGGATCCCCCACCACAGGAGCTCTGCCAATGGACTGGACACTGCAGAGCTCAAATTCATGTTCAGATTCCAGGCTCAGCTTGACCCTGGGAGGGGCAACTCTAGTGCTGTAACCAGCCAGTTCCAGACCCTCCGTTAGCCTGACCCTGGGGTGCCTCGTGGTGGAGTGCTGAGGGCCCCGACCTGTCCCAGCGCATGGCTGAGGGCGCACCTGTCCCTCTGTGGCTGAAGAACACGCCATGTTTGCATCTGCAAAACCCACGCGGATTTGTTTGGGCATCAGCATCAAATCCACTTGGTCGGACACAGCCGCTTCTGGCCAGATCAGTCTGCTGGTCGGTCAGGTGCCGTAGGGCTCCTCGTTCCCGGAGGTGCTTAAATAACTTTAGGAAATAGCCCTTGCGGTTGGGCCAGGTGGCCGGCAGAGGGCGCTGCTCTCATTCAGTCTGTCAGCGCTGCCCCAAAGCACATGCCTCTCTGGCTGGTGTTGAGCTGAGAATCCTTCCTCTCCCCCTAGCACCTCTGAGGCGAGGCCCATGTTAACAGGTTCAGTAGATGGAGCATGTTTATGGGCACTGGAAGGCAGAAAAGATACTGGCTGCCGTGGTCTGGGTGGATCAGAAGGACACCAAGAGACTACAGGTTGTACCTCCAAAATCTGGGACACTGCTTCTGGAGGCAGGACGGCCAGCCAGGTGGGACATCAGAGTCAGCAGCCTGGCCAGGGACAGCATGGGACTGGAGCTGGAGCCCTCCAGCAGCCCCAGGAGTGTGGGGTTGGAGCCCCATGGTTCCCTCGGCTGTGTGGGGCTGCGCAGGGCACGGGTGAGAGCCCCAGCCCCACAGCTTCTCTTGCTGCACAAGAACAGAGCCCTGCAGCAGGAGCCAGAGCCTGTACAGCCCAGCCAGCCAGCAGTAGCTGGGCAAGCAGCCCAGCCAGGTTGCGGGGATGGTGAGGCGGGGAACCTCTGGGGGAAGCAGCAGATGATGGACTTGGGGGCCAGTGGCAGGAGACTTCCCTGGCCTGGCAAATTATCTTGTTTGGGGCGGGTCAGGTCCCGCTGATGCCGGAGCAGAGAGGTCCAACCTGTAGCAGAGAATCCTCCATAACGGCTCCTAGAGATGCAAATACAGATGTCACATAAGAAGCAGCATCCCTCATCCCCTCCCCTTGTGTGTTCCTTGGTTTGGGGACACACCCCAACTCCCAGGTGTCATGGCTCCTTCCCCACTCTGGCATGATAAATGCAGAAGTGGGGGCCAGCGAGTATACTCCAAAGCCTTATCGACCAGGCTTTGGTATAAAACTTCCCCCAAGATCTTAAAAACCTAGATCTTGGGAATAAAACTTCTGCTGCCACCACCCAAATGTTGATAAAGAAATCAGGGGAAAGATCATTTGGGAAATCTCACCCCTAAAATAAAAATCAGGACACCCAAGTAACCAATGCCAGGTTAATAAAAGGAAAGAAAGAACTTTTATGATTACAACAATATTCCTGTTGCAGGCATAATGACTCGATGGAAAGGTAACAAAATACACTCCTGGAGAAACTCCATGGGCCTAGAACTTAGTTACAAAGAAAAATCCAAAACGTCTTTTAAGCAGTGCCAGATCTCAGATCCCCTACCTAGCCCTTAAAACAATAAAGCCTAACGAACCTACCTAAACTTTACCCTACTTACAGAAATGCTTGTCCCTCTCTGTAGCTGTAGAGAACACACCCAGAGAGACAAAAGGGAGAAAGGAAAAAACCCAAATTCCTTTGTCCCAGTTTGAAAGTCCCACCTACATTCCTACTGGTCACTCCACCTGGCTAGGTGTAGTTAACCCCTTAATCCCCAGGCTGCTGGCTAACCCTCATAATCATGACACCAGGCAGAGCCCAAAAATGCTGCCCCCCCCATGCTTGTGGGTCACTTGCGCAGTGCTTACAATTCCTCTGGCCAAAGAGCAGTGGCGGGAAGACGCGCCCCCATTCCCTTCGGAGCGGGCGATTGTCTGCATGGGAAAGTTAAGCCCAGGTGTGAATTTAAACGGATGGTTGTAACGCTCCACCCCACCCCTGTAGATGCTCCAGCCCAGGCTGCCAGTGGCTTTTTTCCAGCTGTGCTTATGACACTGGGAAGGGTTTGAAGCGAACCTGAAAAAGTCACTTGGGTGGTGGAATGGGAGCGTCCGTGTGGGGTTATAGGGAACACCTGGGGGTTTAGCTCTCCTGGTTTGACTACTGGTCGGACTCCCATGTGGCCAGGCCCTGAGCTGACTGCTCCTGCCTGGGCCAGAGGGGCTTGCTGGTCACACTTTTCAGCCCTACAACAGAGCAGGGTGACACCCCTTCAGCAGGCCTATTGTAGTGTGAGTGCGCTCTTAGCTTCATCAGGGAAACAGGGCCCATCAGCAAGGGCTCAGCGAAGGAGCGGTCCCACCCTGCTGTCCCTGAGCAGGTGGCTTAGGAGACACGCGCAGAGGGAGCTGAGTGAATGGATCCGCCCATCCCAGAAAGCCGCCCCACCTGGGGCCTGCCCCTTCTGTTGCCAGGGAGAACCCTGATTTCCACTGCTGGCTGTAGAGAGGCAGCACCAGAGACTTTCAAACCATCACCTGGTGCTGCTACCACCCCTCTTCCTGCAGGAGAATCCCTGCCTCGGAGGGGGGGGGTAAATCAGGACACCCGGCAGGCGCCGAAGGTTGTTGAGGGAAAGGGGACAGACTGAGTGCGTGGGAGTAGCAGGGCTTGGCGGTTCGGCTGTTTGCCCATGGTTGGGAGGCTGCCCTACATCCTTGGAGCGCGCGTCATGTTCTGCAGGAGGCCAGCCTTCAGACAGGGGCTGCTACACACCCAGCTCTGGTCCTGGGGGCGAGTGCATGTGGGCCCTGTCCCCAGGTGCACGGGTAGGACCCATCTCACGGCAAACAAGCCCTGGTGTGTGCAGGGCACTTCCTCTCCAATTCGCCCCCTGTATTCACACGCTCGCCCCCCCAGGCTTGGCGCACACTGTTCTGCAGGAGGCCAGCCTTCAGACAGGGGCTGCTACACACCCAGCTCTGGTCCTGGGGGCGAGTGCATGTGGGCCCTGTCCCCAGGTGCACGGGTAGGACCCATCTCACGGCAAACAAGCCCTGGTGTGTGCAGGGCACTTCCTCTCCAATTCGCCCCCTGTATTCACACGCTCGCCCCCCCAGGCTTGGCGCACACCTATGGCAGCTCCACCTCTGCCCAGGGCGGTGCCCAGACAGCACCTGGAAAAGCAACACAGAGCTCTTTCCCAGCTGTCCTGGGCTCCAGACCCCCATGTACACCCCTCCAGCGACCCCCCTTCAGCTGTCCTGGGTCCCAGTCCCCCATGTACACCCCTCTAGAGACCCCCCCCCCAGCTGCCTGGGCCCCAGGCCCCCATGAACACCCCTCCAGAGACCGCCAGCTGTCCTGGGCCCCAGGCCCCCATGAACACCCCTCCAGAGACCGCCAGCTGTCCTGGGCCCCAGGCCCCCATGAACACCCCTCCAGAGACCGCCAGCTGTCCTGGGCCCCAGGCCCCCATGAACACCCCTCCAGAGACCGCCAGCTGTCCTGGGCCCCAGGCCCCCATGAACACCCCTCCAGAGACCGCCAGCTGTCCTGGGCCCCAGGCCCCCATGAACACCCCTCCAGAGACCGCCAGCTGTCCTGGGCCCCAGGCCCCCATGAACACCCCTCCAGAGACCGCCAGCTGTCCTGGGCCCCAGGCCCCCATGAACACCCCTCCAGAGACCGCCAGCTGTCCTGGGCCCCAGGCCCCCATGAACACCCCTCCAGAGACCGCCAGCTGTCCTGGGCCCCAGGCCCCCATGAACACCCCTCCAGAGACCGCCAGCTGTCCTGGGCCCCAGGCCCCCATGAACACCCCTCCAGAGACCGCCAGCTGTCCTGGGCCCCAGGCCCCCATGAACACCCCTCCAGAGACCGCCAGCTGTCCTGGGCCCCAGGCCCCCATGAACACCCCTCCAGAGACCGCCAGCTGTCCTGGGCCCCAGGCCCCCATGAACACCCCTCCAGAGACCGCCAGCTGTCCTGGGCCCCAGGCCCCCATGAACACCCCTCCAGAGACCGCCAGCTGTCCTGGGCCCCAGGCCCCCATGAACACCCCTCCAGAGACCGCCAGCTGTCCTGGGCCCCAGGCCCCCATGAACACCCCTCCAGAGACCGCCAGCTGTCCTGGGCCCCAGGCCCCCATGAACACCCCTCCAGAGACCGCCAGCTGTCCTGGGCCCCAGGCCCCCATGAACACCCCTCCAGAGACCGCCAGCTGTCCTGGGCCCCAGGCCCCCATGAACACCCCTCCAGAGACCGCCAGCTGTCCTGGGCCCCAGGCCCCCATGAACACCCCTCCAGAGACCGCCAGCTGTCCTGGGCCCCAGGCCCCCATGAACACCCCTCCAGAGACCGCCAGCTGTCCTGGGCCCCAGGCCCCCATGAACACCCCTCCAGAGACCGCCAGCTGTCCTGGGCCCCAGGCCCCCATGAACACCCCTCCAGAGACCGCCAGCTGTCCTGGGCCCCAGGCCCCCATGAACACCCCTCCAGAGACCGCCAGCTGTCCTGGGCCCCAGGCCCCCATGAACACCCCTCCAGAGACCGCCAGCTGTCCTGGGCCCCAGGCCCCCATGTACACCCCTCCAGAGACC